CACCCCCGCACCGCTCGCCGTGGCGGCAACGTCCAGCCTGCCGCAGACCGGCAATGGAGGCAATAGCAAACCTTACCGGCCCTGGGGGACTGAAGTCGGGGCTTTCTAAGGGCGCCCCCCTACCCCTTTGCCACTTCTGGCTCCCTCCTGTCCTGCAGCGCGCGCTTTCCGCCGCTGGACCACGTGGCGCTGGGCGTCCTCCCAGCTCAGCGAGGGCCATGCCTGCGCGCACAGCCTTACAGACGCCCGCAGGGGCGGCCGAGGGGCAGCGAAGCCCGTCCCGGCTCCGGCGTCATGGGCGGAGGACACGGGTGATGCGTTTGTCTCGTTTCGTTTTGCTTCAGGCACCTGGAGGGAGCAGCGGGGCCTTCAACAGCGCCTTGCCCGTACCAGCACATAGAGGTGTCCTGGGGGATACGTAGACACCAGGACTAGTAATTCCCCAGCTCTGCGTCTTCGCTTGGCAGAGAGGTGAGGGCTGGTGCCTGTGCCTCTCCTGAGGCAAGACAAGAAGGTTGAGCTGCATAAGTGCCTGACATTTTAAATAAATAATAGTAAAAAAACCCTATTTTATATATATATATAAATATATATTTGTGTGTTCTGCTAAAACAAGTAACATTGCACAGGTATGGAAATGATGTAGGAGAGGGAGGGAGTCCTGCATTAAACTTCCGAACTTTGATACGTTTCCAGGAAAAAGTGTGCTCTTCGAGCAGACAGCTGTACTTGGCCAAAAGATTGCTGAGAAAGAAGGACCCACTCGACAGACCTAGTTTTTTGCTTACTTAGTTTACTTTCTTTGTACAGCCTTGCCAGTTCGTGACATCTAGGAGAGTATTGGTAAAAACAGTTATCGGTGCTGGGATTAATGGATGTCCCGGCACTGCCACTGAGCCTCAAGGCACCTTTTTGAGGCTCACACTTGGTGCTAACTTGTATCTGTACAATTAATTTATCGTGCGCCTGGAATTAACCACCTATTTGAAGTATGCACACTTTTTTTTATGACCGATTTGTGCCAATACAAGAGTTTCAATATTGTAAGAGTTCAAATTAACTTATGTAGCTGCATTTGGACATTTACATTTGCCGATTCTCTGCAAGATCCCTCTTCTTTGCTATCAACTTCTGGGATAAGGATCTCTCTGGGTATGAATGAAGTTACGGTAGGGACAATTTTTAAATTGGCTATTAACATGCCAACATTGTATGTGGGTTTGATTCCAAACCAAAATGAATGTATTAAAGGGGATGCCAGTAAATTATTTTGTCAATACCCAGAACTAGTGCTGCATAAAACGTTTTGCTTCCATTTTTTTTTATTACAATGACCTAAAATAACCTAAGTATTTTAATACATCAAGTCAAGAACTAGAGATTTTATGTAAAAAATAAATAAATAAATAAAAATAAGACACAGCATGTATTATTATGCACTTGATTTCTCTGCTGTGTGGAGAAAACAATAAGCATTGAGAATGTTAAACATTATGCAAAATATACTTTAAAATATTTGTTTTAAAAATACTGTACCTAGTCAATCTTTTATGCATTACCTTGTTAACCTTTTTTTCTATGCAAAAGTCTTTACATATCACTAATTAAATGAAGTCCTTTTTGACTGAGCTTTATGGATGATTTATTGCCATTTTTTGTTTGCTTCTGACAAAGTACCCATCGATTCAAAGTCACCGTTTCTGCCACTAATAACAAGTCTGCTAGCTGCTACTCTCTCTTCTGCCCCCTTTGCTCTTTCAGAAAGGCTGTCTCATGCAGCATGCTTTCAAATGGGCAGCAAAAGAAATCCTCCAGCAAAATGGTGCTGTTCTTCAGGCTTGGAAACTGGTTCTTTGTTGATGATACGTTTAGCAGTGCCCTTCTGTCCATCCCAGTGAGTCCTCAAAATCCTTGGGGGTTTTAGGGTCAGCTTGCAGTAGGAGCCTTGCTAAGGGGTCGTGTTTAGAAAGGGAGAAGTTTAACCCGATGCCATCCTTAAGTGTGTAGAATGGGACAGGGTTGTTTTTGCACCCAGTTATGGTTGTCTAGTTTGCCAGTTCTCACTCAGGCAGCTGCTCTGAGTTTGTTCTTACTTCATCTTAGATCTCTAAAGGTAATCTGGAGAACGTGTATAAAGTTCTGTTTGTTCCTAAGAAAAAGCACAAAGTCTTGTCGTCCATGTGAAAAGCACTAAATGGTTATTATGCCGAAATTACAGATAGCAAGATGGAGACACCAGAATGAGGTGACAAACCTGCAGCTGCACAGAGTGAGACAGCATCCATAGACAAAATACAGCCTTATCTCAAAGACTCACTCCTCTTTATCCTTTTCTCCCAAATGGTAAAAGTTTAGCTAATCCCTGCCTGCATGAACTAGTCTCCAGCGCCCAAGAGGGAGGGATTTTGATTTGCCTGAACAGCAGGCTGTCCCTTGGAGAAAAAGGACAAAAGATGGGGAAGAAGCCTCTCCACCCCCTGGGCTGTAAATTGCGTTTGATATTCTTTGAAGTTTTGTTGTTTGTGGGGGAATTAGGCATTTTTTTGTTTCAGGACATAACTGCTGCACTGGTGTGCTGGCATGTTCAGCAGCATCTGGTTCAGGTACCATTCGTTTTCCCTGTACGAGATTTCAAGAATAAAGACTGCATTGGTGAACCACAAGTAGATTAAAAAGAGGGCTATATTTACATGAAAAAGAGTAGGTTTCAAGCATACTTGACTTTAAGCAGTTAAGTATTAACCTGACTCTTAAGATCCTAGTAGGAGGTCTCCAGTGTATCATACCAGGTTAAAAATGGGCAGCCACTGACTTGGTTCCACCTAGGAGCTTCAATCTGTGTGTCCCAATTATTTACAAATGAAGCATATTGCCTCAAAAAAAGTATGAAAAATATGAAAAAGGTATGAAAATATATATTTTTAAAACACTTAGATTAAAGACAATTAGATCTAAGATCAGATGAAAGTCTAGTTATTTTGAAACAAAGCACCGTGGATGGATTTGTAGAGCCTGTGTGTTTGGGCTCATCCCCTTTTCACTCTCAAAATCTCAAAAAACAGGCCAAATTCATGTACATCGATTTTCCCATGGGTTTTTTTTTTGTGTGTGTGCATGGGGGTGTTAGGTTTTTTTGCTTTAATTCCCAGCAGTAGCATTGCCTACGCACTCCTACCAGCTCTGCAGAGCTAGGCCACCTCCAATAACCCAAGGAACCAGTGCTGGACAAGGCAGGAGCTTAGTCTTCACGTCCATTTAGTCCTGGGTCTTTTTTGAGCACATTACCTCTGGGATGGCAGATAAAGGTTTTCCAAGTGAGAAGGGTAGAGAGGAAGCATGTGCTCCGCATGCTGTTGGAAAGACATCAAAGAGGAATAGCTTCTGGCTTCTGAAGGTTGCGGTTATAGCAGTGCCAACAGGTCAGGGCTGGAGGAGTCTACACGATTTTCAAAATAGAGCAAGAGAAAGCTATTTACTTGGCATAACTGAGATCCTAAGGTAGTACACATGATTATGCATGCAAACATACTTTTAACTCCTTTCTGTTTTATCACACTGCATGCAATGATGCTTGGTTCTGGAGAAAGAATAGGGGCCGTAATCTATATAAATTATAATTTAAGACTCAGTCTTAGCATGTAGCACAAATAAAAGCAAATAAGATCACATAGTAGTAAGTCTGGCATTTACTTTCTTTTTAAAGTGGGTTTGCACCCTTAAAGTTCGGTTATCAAGAGGATCAAAGGAGGTTATGCAATTTCCTAGGATGTTTTTCTTAAGAGGACAAAACTAAGAAACAGTTCTGTCACTCAGCATTAGCAGGCTTGGACCCTTAACTCCCAACAGTGCAAATAAAAGCATTTATGCTGCTGGGCTATGAGACTATGTCACATTGCACCAAGGGAAGATTATTACCCCAGAGAGAAAGAAAGGGCTGACCCAAGCCGTGAAATGGAGAGGGGCTGCTGCCCGGCATCCCCTCGCTCCAGTTGCAAGTGGAGGAACTCCTGCATTAAGGATAATCCTGGATGAAAAACGGACCAAGGGCTGAATCCACAGATGGAGAGCAGAATGATCCTGCCCTGACTTTGGTTACATCTGTCTGAGAAGCGACCGATAGCCCCCATTCAGGCTGCTGCCTCCTTAGCAGGAGCCTTCAAAATGTTTGTTTGCAGCTATTCTGAAAGACAATACCCAAGACAGGGTGTCATGTGATAAATAAAAGCATTTACTGAAGCACAGGGTTTGGCTATTGACAAATTGTTAGGACAAAGTCCTAACTTGAAAAAAGAAAAAATCAAAAGAGTCTTTTTTGTCAGAATATGCTACATCAAGACATTAATGAAGTTTTAAAGTGGATAATTAACACCGTAGTCACCAATCTCCTTAGTAATCTACTTTTATTAGCATAGATAGCTTAAGATCACACAGATGAGAGCTTAATACTCAGAAGTGACTTTGTCCAGCATCAAGAAAAGATAAAGTGTGCCAGCTTTCCTTGCAAGCTTTATGTGCACAAGCCTCATTTGTGTGAGGCCACTGCAGGCGCCCGAGTGTAATATTACTCAAAGGTGTGATTTCAGTGCACCTCGCTTCCCCTGCTTCTGCCATTTCACACCGGCAAAGACTTGTCCCCTGGAAGCTGATGTGGGGAGGTCTCAAAAGGAATGACTGCAAATACGCGTCTGACCCCAGCACTAAATGATAAACAGAGGAGCAACACACAGAGGAGCACTGGGATCTCAACTTGTTTGTAAGGCCAGTCTTTCCCGATTTACAAATGAAACAAAGTTTTGACAGACAATTATCTGAAAAGAGTTTTTGCTTCCTCTGGTAACTGCTACTACTGGAAGTTGTAAAATGCTATTAACGTGTAAATATGTCACTTAGTTGGTATTCAGTTGCCTAAATACTTAAGACATCCTAAGATGGACTCCAGCTACCCATCTACATGGTGCAAGTCTCCCTTGTGTCCTGTGTCACATCTGCTGTCCCCATGCAGGTGTCTGGGAAATCCTAGACTGCTTAAGGCATCACTGAATACCTATGTGTAGATGGCTGAATTTCTCCTCTTCTGTCTTAACTCACATCATCTGCAGAGAAATGGGGTTTGAGTCTTAATAACATTTTCAAATATGATTTTTTTTCAAAGAATCAGCATCCTCTTCAGCAGCCTAAAGAGAAGACAGAATAGTTTATCAAAATCAGTTGATGAAAAAAATGATGATACTATCATCACTCAATCTTACTTAACTAAGGCCAGTCAACACTGGCAATGGGCACATTCAACACTGACTTCAGCATTTTTGACTGTATAAAAGTAAATGGCAGTCATTACAAGATGGTGTCAATACGTTTTAATTTTAAACAGCTATTTTTTTTCTGTGTTTCTGATGACAT